CAGGCCCTGGCTCCCTCCTCTCACTGCTCTGCGGGCAGGGGCTGCCAGGTGGGTCGCCCGCTCCTGTCCTCTGTCCTGTGACCTGCCCTCGCTTGCTGCCTCTGATGTCCCAGGAGCCAGCCGAGTGGGGAATTCGATGGCGCGGGGCCCGGAACGCTGGTGGGAGGCCTGGCTCTCTGGGAACTATGTCACCTGGAGCTCAGCTTGCTGGGCTGCGGTTTCCTTCGCCTGCGAAGCAGGGTGGGTGACCCTCATGGAATTAATGGAGGCAGATGAGGGCCCGCTCAGGTGCTGTGCCAGCTGCCCTGGTGGTTCCAGTGGGTGAGCGCTCACAGCAGAGCCCACGGCCTGTGAGCACTGCCCTCCCCACCGCCATCGGGGGAGGAGCGGGCATGACTGTGTGGGGCCCTGAGCCCCCGTGAACACCAGCGAGGGTTTATCTTTTAGGAAGGTGGGGTGAGCTGTGCGCCTGTCTGCCCCACCCTCCGTAGGAAATGAGGTCGAATCTATAAAGTGCTGGGGCTCCTGCTGTTGGAAAGGCCCGGGTTTGTCGGTGGGGCCGCTGGGAGAATGTGCGGGGAAACTCAGGTTAAACTCCCATTCTGGTTCTGCACTGGCTCCACTTGCTCTTTCCCCACCTCGTTCCTTCCCTCCCTCCTCCCTCCTTTCCATCACCCCTTGTCATATTTACTTCCACTGTGTAGCACTATCTTCACACTGATCTGATTAGTCTTTCAAATGGGGCTGAGTTTGTCTAGAAGGCCCTAACCTAAAGCAATTTCCTAGTGGCTTTACAGGGTAATAAACATTACCTTTTTGTTGTTTGTTTTGTTTTGTTAATCCTCATCCGAGGATATTTTTTGCATTGATTTTTAGAGAGAGTGGAAGGCGGGGGGTGAGGGTGGGGGGTGAGGGGGGATGGAGGGAGAGAAACATCGATGTGAGACACTTCGATTCGTGGCCTCCCACACCTGCCCTGATCAGGGCGGGGATCGAACCTGCAACCCAGGTGTGTGCCCTTGACTGGGAATCAAACCCTTGACCCTTTGGTGCGTGGGCCGACACCCTAATCACTGGCCATGACAATATAACTTTTTTTTTGAGTTGGGGGGGTTATGGGGCCGGAGGAAGGGACATGAAAATATTGCAAATTCTAAAAACTAGGATTTGAGCAGCCTTGGTAAAGGTGGCTGGTCGGCATCCAAGAGAAAGGTTTGGTGGTGGTGCTGGGTGTCTGGGGAGCTTAACCGCTTGCCGTGCCAGTTGCGGAAGCCAGCTGCTGCCACTGGAAGTGCCTAAGGAAACTGACAGTGCTGCCTCCCTGGGCTAACTGACCTGACGTCACAGGACAGAGTAGAAGAGGACTCAGGTGCCTTCACACCAGCCTCCTCATGGAACACCCAGAGGGGCAGACACTCAAAGCCGCACAGCACAGTCTCTGAGCGGCCAACGCCCTAGGCTCGTCCCCTGCATGATTCCTCTTGTCTGCCTGACTGCTCCCACCATTACCTGTTATTTGTTTCCCCCTCACATTTCTGCCCCTTCTTACTGGAGGGAGAAGAGCTCCCAAACAGATGGTGGAAGTCAGGGCTTGTTGAACTATCCACTCCATTCAGCTGTAGACTTATCTTTTCTGTATACAGACGGGTTATCAACGTCTCCAAACCGTATGGCACTGACCTTTCTTCTTTCTCCCCAGTTCCCCAAGGAGCTAGGCCCCCCAACCCCTGGCTCTTGTCTCCATAAGGTGGGCCATTCATTCATGGAGCCTTTAGCAGCCAGGCCAGAGGAAACTCTGCTTGTACTGGCCAAAGGCCGGCCATTCATGGTGAATATAGCTGTGACCCTCAGTTTTGGAGATGTGTGTGTGTAATTTTTTAAATCAAGAAGTTGGCTTAAGCCCAGCCGGCATGGCTCAGTAGTTGAGTGTCGACCTATGAACCAGGTCACGGTTCGATTCCCGGTCAGGGCACATGCATGGGTTTCGGGCTCCATCCCCAGTGTGGGGCATGCAGGAGGCAGCCGATCTATTCTCTCTCATCATTGATGTTTCTATCTCTCTCTCTCCCTCTCCCTTCCTCTCTGAAATAAATAAAAAAGATATTTAAAAAAAAAAGAGGTTGGCTTAAGTTTCATAGCTACCAGTTATTGTGTCCCTACTATGCGCCAGCTGCTTTTCCAACAATCTTAGATGGTAGGTGGCAGCATACTGGTTATGGATGCAGAATCTGAGGGTCAGCGAGGCTAAGAAACTCGCACAAGGTAAAGCAGCTGGCGGAGCAGAGGACAGAGGATAACACTCCTTATCCAACCCTGGCCTTGCCTAAGAAAACATGCTGCTAGTTTTTATTTTGAGAATGAATGGGAGGGGAGTTGGAACAAAATGTGCTTAGCTATCTGTTGACTGACACAGTGTCTCGGTAACGTTTCTGAGAACTGTCTTCCAGATAGAGCTAATCACAACTCGTCCTCGTCTTCCTTTTCGTTGCTTTTAGAATAATCATAGGTTTTCATGTGTTTTGTCAAGTTAAAAGCAAAGTTGGTGTTTTTGCTGATAAAAGTACATCTTTAGTGTAGAAAGACAGGGTTTACAAAAAGAAAGAGTTGTCCTGAACCGCACACCAGCTTCAGGGGAATAATGTGGACACTGGAGCTGGACCGCAGGCAGGGCTGAGCACCCCGCTCTGCCACTGAAGATTGCGTGACCTTGAGCTAGTCCTTAACTTCTGCGCCTCATTCCTCACCTCTGAAATGGAAACTAGTGCCCTGCTTCTTTGGGGGTGTCGTTAAGAGGAAATGATACGAAGCTCCTAGGGGCGACCAAGAGGCGTGTAGCATTTTAAGAATCCTCCCTGAACCTGTGTAAACACGGGAATATCTAGGCTACTGTGCATGTCCTAGTAAACACAACGGGACTATTTTTAAACCAAACAGTTTTCATCTAATAATATATCCAGGCTGCCTTTCCTTACCTCTAAGTAGCCTTCTTGTTGCTTGATAACTGCCTAGAACCCGATGGCGTAATGGCGTGCGTGGAACTGAGTCCGCGTTGTGGGCACGCAGGTTTCCAGTTTTGCGCTAATGCAATGCATTTTAAAATAAATTGGAGTCGATGTTGTACAGTGAATGGTGTCTCTCTGGTGACAGGGGCTTCCCCCTCTTTCAAAGCGCACCCAGTCTTGCCTCCCCTGGTGTGAAGGAAGCCATGGCATGCCCTCTTTGGGATCTCAGGTCTCCTTGATTCTGAGTGAGGCAGAATCTGAACATGCCAGCCCTAAGTGGGGGGGTTACACTCTTCCTCTCCCCCCACTCCCTCTTTAAATTCAGGAAAACCATGCTTCTTTATTTAGTGTCTCTGGTATGAATTCTCTCTTGGTTCCCAAGGAATCATAAACCAGAAACTCCTCTTGTTCTGCCCTGGCTGGGTGGCTCAGTTGGCTGGAGCGTTGTCCCGTACAGAAAAAGGTTACGGGTTCAATTCCCAGTCAGGGCACATACCTAGGTTGTGGGTTCAACCCCTGGTTGGGGTGTGTACAGGAGGCAACCAACTGGCATTTTTCTCTCACATGGATGTGATTTTTTCTCTCTCAAATCAATTAAGAAAACACATGTCCTTGGGTGGGGATTAAAAACCCCCCAAAACCTCTTGTTCTGATTTTGCTGTATCCGAGGTGCTTTCTAAGACGGTGCTCTGTCCTTCTCCAATGGGCTTCGAAGTGAAACCGTAAGCTTCCCTGTTTCCCAGGGTGGACCCCTGGGCCCCACAGAGCTGCGGTCACTGTGCCATTCTGGGCACCACATCCGCCATTTCAGTTGCCTGAGTGCAGGTGACACGCTTATTTGATTCCTTTACTGATGTAAAACTCGGCTTGCTGGTCTTAGATGGGCAGAAACCATTGACTAGGTCTCCCTAAAATTTCCCCCCGCTGCTTTTAGCCACTAACAAGCCAACAGGTCTTAAAACATGTTTGAAATACACCCCTCACCATGGGGTGTGTTGTGTATGCATAGTCAACGGATGTGGCTGTGTATTGCTCCAGGAGGCATGAGTGTGATGGGTAGCAGAGGTTCAGCGGTAAGAGCCCTTGGTGGGACAGACCTCTTAAAAGGCTTATGACTTTAATGGGATTTTCTGCAGCCTAATCCTGGGTGTTTGAACCCTGGCATTTTAATCGGAGCGAGTGGGCCTCCGAGGAGCCAGAGGAGCTGGCTGCCTTCCAGGGCGCTGTTGATGACCATCACGGCAGGCCATTTGCCTGTGACATTTAAGAGAAGGCCTTGCTTTTTCACTCTGATGTAGGGAATAGGGCATCTGTGAGAAGGGATATACTAGTAACACCCTCTTCAGCACAATAGTCAGGCCGGTGTGTCCTTGAGGTGTGATGGAATGGCATCAGGACTTAAAAAAAGAGCCATAATGTGCGTATTGCACATGAAAAAAAGCGAGAGAGAGAGAAATCACACGTTTATTCCGCAGTTGTAAAACTCGGAGCATCAGCTCCTCTCCACAGTATTTTCCAAGGTGCTTTGTAATGTTTCTTTCTGACACCCTGCCTGTGAGAAAGGTTAAGGAGCATTATCCCCCTGGCGCTGAGGAAGACACTGGAACCATGAGAGGTTCCTTGACTTGCCTTGAGCTCTGGAGCGAGGCTGGACCAGCCAGAATGGCTCCTGCTTCCCACTTTGAGTCTCGGTAGTCCCAGGGCTGCCTCCGGGAAGTGCTCAGTGGAGGGAAGAAAAGATGGGGCACCTGCTTAGCCATGTTCTGGGGAGTTCTGTTTTGGGGGCTGCGGAGGCAGAGAGAGCTGGACAGTGTAAAAGTCTAGGTCCAAGCCCTAGCTGGTTTGGCTCAGTGGATTTAACAGTGGTTCTCAACCTTCCTAATGCTGCGACCCTTTAATACAGTTTCTCATGTTGTGGTGACCCCCAACCATAAAATTATTTTCTTTGCCACTTCATAACTGTAATTTTGCTACTGTTATGAAGCGTAATATAAATATCTGATATTATATACGTGTTTTCCGATGGCCTTAGGCGACCCCTGTGAAAGAGTCGTTCGCCCCCCAAAGGGGTCTCGACCCACAGGTTGAGAACCGCTGGGATAGAGCATCGGCCTGTGGACTGAAGGGTCCCGGGTTTGATTCCGGTCAAGGGCACATGCCTGGGTTGTGGGCTGGATCCCCAGAGGGGCCATGCAGGAGGCAGCCGATCAATGATTCTCTCTCATCATTGATGTTTCTATCTCTCCCTTCCTCTCTGAAATCAATAACAATATATTTAAAAAAAAGTCTAGGTCCAGGATCCTTGACCTACAAACTGCTTTGCTGCCATGAGCTAAGCTGGAGGAGTGATGGATGGCAGAAGCAAATTATTTTTGGCTCCATGGCTCAGTCTTGGCAGGGGGCCCTTTAAATTTGAAATGCAAACCTGAGGGCTCCAAAGGGTTGGGAAGCTGAGGTCATTTTCTCCCTCCAGTTCCCATGTTGGCCTGTTCTGTGGAGGGGTTGCCGATTACACCAGGGGCACGCTCTGTTCTGGGCTCTCTACAATAAAGTACACACATAATAAGGCAAACTATGTAATAAGGCTACAGGGAGGGCTTCTAACATGGAGGGTCCCTGCATCTCCCCCCTCTCCCCCCCAACACACACACACAGACAGACCCACGAAAGCTTGATCCTCACCACAAAACCAGGTTGATGCTGCTGCTGGAGACATAGTCTTAGGTCAGAAGTGAGTATACCAATGCTTCTGTTATTCTTCTGTTGTTTTTTTTTTTGGTCAATCCTCACTAGAGGATATTTTCCTGTTGATTTTTAGAGAGAGTGGAAGGGAGGAGGAGGGACAGAGAGAGAGAAACATCGATGTGAGAGAGACACATCAATTGGTCGCCTCCCACACGGGCCCCGACCAGGGCTGGGGATCCAGTCTGCAACCGAGGTAGGTGCCTTTGACCAGAATGGAACCTGGGACCCTTCAGTCTGTAGGCCGAAGCTCTATCCACTGAGCCAAACTGGCTAGGGCTATTCTTACGTCTTGAATGTCCTTTTCCTCTGGCTCCTTGGAGGCCCACTCATCATTAGCTAAAACCCTCACAAGATTGCTGTGATGACAGAGGGCAAGTCCCTATCCCCGCCCCGCCCCCAGCCATACTGAGGTACAGTTGATAAGTACAAATTGTATATATTTAGAGGAGGGCAAGCTTTAATAAGAGTAAGGAATGCATGGAACTTGAGGCAGCAAAAGTGATTTGAACCTCACTTTACGGCTTACATGTTAGCCTTAGGCTGGTGGGTCTTCTTTCTGAGCATCGTTTTCTCAGCTATAAGATGGGAGCACCATTGTCACCCTTACCCACGGTGAGAGCTACAAGGCCATGCTAATAGGCCCATCCACTTCACAGACGGAAACAGATCAAGTTGTGGTCCAGCGAGAGTTGGCCTATGGCCTGCGGAGGAGTTGCCACTGTAACCCTGGCACGCAGACCAGCCTCCTTTGCGCCCGGATCTGTTTACCTTCAAACGTGAGGTGGAGCGGAGATTTGCCATCGAGGCTTGGAACTCTGTACGTTTTGTTGGACTGTATCACTGGACAGGCTGAGGGAACAGGGCCAGACTGACATGACCTTTATCTGTGTGTTTTGTCTGGAGCAGGGATTCCCGGTCACCTCCCTTGTCCGGCTCCTCCCGGATGGAACAAGAAGACAAACACGGTGTGTGTGAAGGCCCGGACTCAGAAGATACAGGAATGGGCTCTGATTTTGAGAACTCCGAGGACAGGGAAGGGGACCCAGACGAGAGAGAAATGGGTTCCAACGCACAGGACGCAGACAAGAGAGGCGGCCACCCGGAGCAGGAGATGGGCTCTGACCCACGGGAGGAGCGGGAACTGGTGTCTGACATCTGCACAGGTGAGGAGAAAGCGGGAATTTCCATGGAAGTTGGGGCTCACATGTATTTCTGGCTCCTCCCGAGTTGTCGCCAGGGGCAGCATTCTTGTGAAGAGGAACATCCCTTTCTCCAGTCCAGTGGGAGGTGGCTGTGCTGGTAAACGGGTGAGGAGGGAGTCGCTGGCACCGCACTTCACAGTATACAGAGCACGGATCGAGGTCAACACCTGCAACAACACAAGAGGGAACACGGGGAGTATGAGAACCTCCGTCACCGGGTTGTTGGGAGAGTTAGATGAGTTGCCGCACACAAAGGCTCACTAAGCGCAGCGCTGCGCAGCGTATTCAGATGTTTACAGCTATTGTCATCGTGTTGGTTGTAGATAACTCGGTTCAGTGGTAAGGGACGTGCCCAGGTGCATGTGGCTGATTCTCAGAGTGCCAAGGCCTCTGCTCATCGCCTTGCTTTTCCTGACCTGGAAACAGACTCCACCCGTATTCAGTTCTGCCCTCGGGCCTCCCTTACTTGATCCTGCTCTGTGCTTGCCTCCGGGACAGAAATGAGCTGGGACACCCTTGGCCAGGGCTGTGAGATGACAGGCTTTCCCATGTAACGCATCCCAGGCCCAGCAGTGCACACACGCACACGCTCTTTCATACCCAGGGACTGTCTGGAGGGCCCTCTGCTTGGGCATCAGCAGCCAGAGACAGACAGGTGTGCGCTGGGTCAGCCTCTAGGCTGGGCTCAGCAGCTCAGGGCCCGGTGCTCACCTCTCCTTTCCCCGTACACCTTCCTCTCCCCTTACATAGTAAAGCCCTGGTGTTGGGGTGTGTTTGGTATACTGTTCCACCATGAGCTGTTCCAGAATGAACAATCCCATTTTAAAAATCAGTCCAGCCCCAATGGTGTGGCTCAGTGATGAGTGTGGACCCAGGAACCAGGAGGTCACCATTCAATTACCAGTCAGGGCACATGCCTGGATTGCCAGCTGGATCCCCAGTAGGGGGCATGCAGGAGGCAGGTGATGGATGATTTCTTCTTCATAGATGTTCCTCTCTCTCCCTCTCCCATCCTCTCTCTGAAATCAATAAAAACATTAAAAAAAAAAATCAGTCCAGGTGGCTTTTTCTGGTGGTTGGCAGGAGTGGTCTTGCCTTGTGCGGTTAGGGCCTTGGAACGCATGGGCTGCTCTTACAGTGAGCAGATCTCTTCTGAGCTCCCACAGCGTCCCACCTGGCCCAGACTTGACTACCTCAAGCCGACTGTCCATGTGGCCTTCGGATGGAGCCTCAGGGACAGTGGGTGGGGCGTGGGCTCAGAGACAGCTGCCAAGAGCTGGTGAGCTGAGGGGACACGAGTGAGCTTTCCCTGGGTTTCAGAGAGCACACTCGCCTCTAGGCCTTCCTTCCCCAGGAGGCACCAGGTAGGAGCTTGGGGATCTTGGAGAGTGAGTTTGTGAATACCCCGGGGGAGGGAATTAATTACTCCGTGGCCCACACTTTTCTTGACCTTGGCTTCCTCTGGGTTTACTCTTTGAGCTCTAGGTATAATCGCCTGCCCCCACTGTCCCCTTTTCTGTTTGCAGAGGGGCTGCTGAGTGAGGAAGAAGTTCTGCGGGAGGAAGAGGATGGCCAGTCTGGAGTCGCTGCGGTGGCCGTGTTCCCAGGACTGTCCGAGTCCCACAGCACATCCCGGAGCCCCCGGGAAGAGGAGGAGCCGCCGCCCCCACCGGTGCTT